CAAAGAGATGCCTGCCCTGATCTCACCAAAGTAATCCCTTATCTATCAGGCACTCTGAAAGGCGCAGTGAAGCTAGCCTCCTGGCTATCTAGGCCTCGCCATAACCCGCAAACGGGTTGGCAACTCCAACCCGTTACCCTAACCCGCAGATTTGCGGGTTGAAAAAACCAATCCTCACCTGACCCTCAAACCTGCATAGGTAACCCGCGGGTTACCCGCAAATAATCTGTTTTTGCATAAATCTCCCAGACCTTTCCTAAACGGGATGGATAAAATACTGAATCAGCCTGATAAATAACTATTATTTATACCTGTTTCAGTCATGAGTATTATTTGGACTGTTTTCTAATAGTATTTTTAGAGAACTATTTAAAATATATTTATATTCTGATCTCTTTAATATAGTAATAAACTATTTAGTAAAAATAGTAAAGCTTATATATCTATCTATTAATTTACTGTAAGTCTAGTATTTTAGAATTGTAACAAGCAGAAATATATATATCTATACCAAGGAATTAAATATTCTTTATAGATTAAGAAAAAATAAATATAAATGAGTAATCTATAGATTACCTGTAAATTTTAAGGATTATACAGGTTATTCTTAGAGTAACTTATAGATTACCTGTAAAAACTGTCTAACTTTAACTAATTATACTTTTATTCTTATATAGTAATGGAGAGATTTTATAATATATTAATAACTTATTTAGCTATCTATAATAGCTGAGCTGAATTTTCTTTTTTAGATATTAGAATTAATTCTCTAAGTTAAGATATAGAGAATTTTTATAAATTATCTTTTTTTTTAATAAATATCTCTATCTTAATTTATTATATCTTAAAAATCTTAGTTTTCTAATATCTATTTTTTATTACTATATAGTGATACTATAGATTTTCTCTATATTCTATTTAATAATCTCTAGTTACTTATTCCTAAGCTATATTCTAGTTAGCAGAATCTTAGGTTTATATCTGATTTAGACTTTATTTAATTATCTTAGCCAGCTATAGTTCCCGAGACTCTCTAATATATTAGTCCAGATTATAGAAAGTCCTATATTCTTTACTTTAATATATTAAAGAATAACTTTATTACTTAATGGCTGAAAATAGACTTTAGAAGACAAAAGCAGATCTATTAAGATAGTAGATACTACTCTAATTACTGAAAGTATTATTAGTAAGTTATAGATATTAAAATAGAGAAGCTAAAGATCTTATATAACAGATATTCTAAGATTCTTAACTATCTACAGAATAGCTGATATAGAATATCTACTATAAATAAATATATTAAAGAGATAAAATATCTTAGATATAGAGAGAAGAAAGATTAGAAATAAGATATTAAATAATTTATATAAGCTATAGTAAGTACTAGAATTAAAAAGCTAAATTAATATTAATAAAAATCTTTCTTAGGCTTATTAAGCTTCTAATAAGATTATAAGATTTATCCAGAAAATCTAGAAAGAGAGACTTATTAAATTTATTACTATATTATATTTTCTATTCTAGCTTATTAAATATTCTGAATTTTATTAGCTTATTAATATAGTATAACTTATATTATTTACTATAAATATTCTCTCTATAAAGACTATTTAATATTAACTATAAAGTACTATTAAGAAGTAATAATAAAGTCTTCTTTAAAAACTTTCTTTAGATACTAAATTATTAATTATATTAAATTATTAAATATCTTTATTTAAGTAAGTATTTCTTACTATTATAGACTATTTTCTTAATCAAGATTAAAACTATTAAGAGATTCTCTTAAAATTTAAATTACTTTATAAAATATACTCTAGTATTAATTTAAGTAATATTTTTCTTGAATTACTTTAATAATACTAGATTATAGATTAGATATTAGTAATTATAATTAATAATATATTAAATAATAGTATATTAGTATCTAGTATCCAGAAATCAGTTCAGTCTCTAATACTGGATAGTAATATTACTATTATTTAGATTTCCTATATTATTTATATTATTTAACTCAGTCTTAAATAGCTTCTCAGGCAAATAAAAGTAAATCTAAAAAATAAGATAATAGAAATAAAGTAATTAAAGATCTATATTTAATTACTGTATAGAAGATATCAGAAAAAAAAGATTATTAGTATACTTAATAAGATTAGATTAATTTTTTTATCTCTTTTATTATATACTATTATCTCTAATTAATTTACTAGATCTAAAATCTTACTATCTTTATTAATACTAGTTCTTAATATCAGGAAGTATTCTATAATCTTTAGACTAAATAATTAAAGCTTTTACTAATTCAGGATATTTATACTTACTAGAACTTAATATTCTTAATACTTTAATATATAAAATAATTTTAATTAACTTTTAATAAATTCTGCTTTTATTATAATCTTTTTTACTTAATTCTTAATCAAGAAAAGTAATACTAAATTAAGTATCTTCTTTAAATAATCTAATTCTTCTTTTAGTTTATAATTACTCTTTCTAAGACTAAAGATATTACTATTTATAATATCTTTAGTATCTATAATAAGCTCTTTAAGTATCTTGAAGTATTAATCTAATAACTCTAATATAAGAGAGTTTCTTAGAAACAGTTAATGCTTAATATACTTTATACAGCTAAGAATAAGCTCTCAGAATATTATAGTAAGATTAATAAGATTTATAGTAATCTTTATATAATTAATATAATTATTACTCTATAATATAAGCTTCAGTTCTTTTTAGGTAAAGATTAGAATAATTCTGAATATAATTAGTAAAAGTAATATTATTAAAGCTTATAGAATTATCTTAAGCTTTATTAAGAAAATATTTTAGATAGTTAGTTACTATTAAAAGCTCAGTTATTAAATATATAAATATCTAAGCTTAATATACTTCTTAATCTAATCTGGTTATATTAATTATAACCAAGCTAAAATAATAAGATTATATATTATTTTAAAAGTAATATATAAGTTCTAAGTTACTCTTGATTATTCTTAGCTAAATATATAAACAGGCATACTTTTAATTACTCTATATATTTTCTAAAAAGATAACCAGTATAGATTTCTAGTACTTATAAGGCTTTCTCAGGATATTCTTTCTATCTTTACTACTGGTACTGGTATTAAGTATCTTTTTAACTCTATATAAGATATATACTACTACTGTCAGGGCTTACTAAATATAATAACTATTCAAGATCTTATAATATTTATATATATTTTAAAATTTAAGATTAAAAAGAAATAGCTTATATTAATAAATATCTCTTAAGTAAAGAACTACAGGCTATTACTGAGAAAAAAGATACTTAACTTCTACAGTATAATTTTAATTTAATTAGTAATAATAAAGAAGAAGAGAATTTAGTTTATACTTAAGTATAGTCTACTATCCAGACTGTTAGTAAGTATATACTTAGTAAATAAAAAAAGAGTATTATCTCTAAACCAGAAGATAATAGAGTATATAAACCGTATAAAGATAATAATAATAATAAGTTTAATCTGCTCCTGCCTAGTACTTAATAGCAGGTATCAGGAAGGATAAAAAAGTGATCAAGACTTTTAAATAGATATAAAGTTAGTTAAGAATAGTCTATAAATATATTTTTGGCTTGATAATCTCTTAGAACCCTATTTTCTCTGAGTAGAACAGACTTATAAAGTAAATACTAAAAAATATAGCCTATAAATATATAAACTATACAGGTTATAGATTTTTATATATTTATCATATTTAATAACCTGCGGGTTATCCTTATAACCCATGCGGGTAACCCGCGACTACCTATAACCCGCCAGCGGGTTGTAGGCCTCAACCCAGAACCCTCAAATCTGCGGGTTTCGGGTAACCCGCAATGGGTAACCCGCGGGTTATGGCGAGGCCTATGGCTATCTAAGACCTGTTTCTTTGAAGACATCTGTATATGACATCCCCTAACTCAGCAAGACTGAGAAAGTATCTTTCAAAAAAAAAAAAAGCTCTGAGGGGGTAAGGTAGGTTATGGAGTATAGATAGACCTTTGCAGCTGGCATTATCCTCTTTTTTCCCTGCACTGCACGCCTTTCATTCCGACTGCGGAAGCTATGTAAACGCGCTAAAGTTCCTTAGTTGTATATAGATAATAGAACTAGAACTAGTTAGAGACACCCAGGGCTTACCCCCTGGCGGCCTTTGCCCCAACAGGGGATGGTGGGTCACATGCTTTGGCGGTGAACCACGGCCGTAAAATACAATCAATCAATCAATCTCCCCTCCCATAGTTGAATTCAGTTGTAAATGCTACCATATCTAGCTTTCTGTCGCGGAATTGCTATCTATGAATGAGCAGTCATCACACTCTAGACCAATTTTTAGATCCGGAGGAAGCCTTCTAGCGAAGCGATATGCCTATAATTTATTAACATGTCACTGAGAATCATCCCGCTTCACAGCTAGATTGGCCCATTTATTAAGCAATGTAAAGATAATAGGAAGATGTATATCACATATTCTAGTAATCCAGTTAGCCAGAGCAGCCCCTTACTGATTAAGCACTCTATTTGCAGGGATTCAAGTTATATGAGACTTTCTTTGATCGTGGACACAGCTATAAAGTATGCCATAGGAAACCCTGAATTCTCGCGCGATTTTTGCAATATTCAGTTTTTTTTTAAGACAAGCGGCTTCGTATACCTCATATACGCGTGCACCGACAAATTTAGGTGTTTTAGGCATATTGGGCGGTTTGTATAGTTTCATAAAAATAAAAGGTTGATAATATTCCTCTACGCCCATCCGGTGAAGGTGGTGGGTGGTTGGTCCCGGCACTAATATATGCAGGATAACAATCATCACAATTATGAGTGGGCAGGGCAGAGTGGAGATTGTTTGTCTAGTGGGGCACAACATCGGTCCAAATCGGCTAGGCGGTGGCGCCAGAAAAGGGTCAAGGGCAGGCTGGCAAGGGGGAAATAGCCAAAAAAAAGTCTCGCCACCTCGGGACTGTAGGTCCTTGATCGCCAGCTTTTATCCACCGGCTGTGCCTGAAATACTGCCCACACATACCCTCTCCAATTCAACTCTTTCAAACAAATCTTTCAACGGCGTTTTATTCCTCAACTACCTCTCCTTTATCTCATTAGGATACCAACATAAATATACGCGACCGAGATAGTTACGAGCAAGCCAATTGCCATTCGAGGAAAAGTGTGTAAAGACAATGTGAGCTCCATTTCATTGCAGTTGTCATCTCATTACCATTATTAATTTGGTCAAGGAATTCAACGTTGCTGTCGGCTCCCCCGGAGACCTACTGGGGCCAATTTGAAGAGATCTCTAAATACAACACTCACCTCAATGTACTCGAGAGGCTGTGGACAGCCTGGTATGCTTGGATGGAAAATGACGTCCTGGCGACTGGCATTATGTCCTTCGTTATGCACGAGGTCGTCTATTTCGGGCGCTCCCTGCCGTGGATTTTCATAGATAGCCTGGGCTTGTGCAAAGGCTACAAAATCCAAAGCGTATGTTCATATCATATTCGGCTCATAACACATCACCCTAATTGGCCTTCAGAATAAAATCCCCTCATTGCGTGAGCAGTGGGATTGTGCGAAATTTGTGCTGCTTAGCCATTTTACAGTCGAACTACCTCAGATATGGTAAGTACCTTCAACCGACACGTTCATTTCCAAACTAATGAGTTTCTCAGGTTATTTCACCCAATGGCACAATTCTTCGGTCTCTCGACCTCGGTTCCTTTCCCCACTGTCTGGACAATGGCCTACCAGATTGCAATTTTTTTCGTACTTGAGGATACATGGCACTACTTCTCGCACCGCGCACTTCACTGGGGCCCCCTTTACAAGGCCATTCACAAGATCCATCACCAGTATTCTGCTCCTTTTGGCATGGCTGCTGAATATGCTTCTCCCATCGAAGTCATGATTCTCGGGTTCGGTACTGTTGGCTGCCCAATCCTTTGGTGCGCGGTAACCGGGGACCTACACATTTTCACCATGTACATTTGGATCGTATTGCGGCTGTTCCAGGCTATTGATGCTCACAGCGGTTATGAATTCCCTTGGAGTCTTCATCATTTCCTGCCATTCTGGGCCGGTGCTGATCACCATGATCTTCATCATGAGAAATTTGTCGGCAACTACTCTAGCAGCTTCAGATGGTGGGATTACCTGCTGGATACTGAATACAGCCCAGAAGCAATCAAGCGCCGGCGGGAGAACAAGGCTACAAGGGGCGTTAAGAAGGATCAGTAAAATAAGCTATTCTGCTATTAACCTCCTCCCTTCTCAATTTTCTTTTCTCTTTTTCTACATCGCCTGATAGGCTGTCTCTAATTTATGGCATCCAACATCCCAGTCTATGGATTTTCATCTGGTGAGCTGCTCTTATGGAGTAGGTATTCGATTCTGTTTTGGGGGTGGACGGGGGAGGGTGTACTTTATAGGATCAATTAGTTGTGGCCATGCTGTGGTTTTATGTATTAATTTGAATATTAGCTAATATTATAGAATATGGATAAATCATGTCGATGGCTGGGTGGCACTCATAATTCTAGAGTCTATCAGCTGTGTAGCCTACTACTTTTCTTTCTGTTTCTCTCTTCTGTTTTAATGCTATATCTATCTACTTATATTAATTTGGGAAGGTAACCACCGCTCGTCTCATCCATCCATTACAGTTTCTATATACTCGTTGTCTAAGAGTGACCTACAACTCTCACCAGACTTCATATAAACTTTTTTTTAAAAAAGAGAATTAGGAAATTATAGCTCTATCTTATTAGATAAATCTTTGGTACATGCAGTGCGCAGGCTTGATGATTAGATGATTGAATGGGTTGACTATCTAGCGGTGGAGGTTGCCTAATAAGAGGCGGGAACTACGGTAATCTGGTATGACTACTAGCGCAACAACGGTGTAGGGAACGGTGTACGGGTAGATCAAGCAACGATAAGTGTTGATACAGAACGGTGCAACAATCTTCATATGAATTAAGAATATGTTGGGTACTTCTGATTGTGATGTAGAAAGGTCGATTTCTCTTAGTCCCAGGAATGGGGATGTTGCCAAGTTCTGCATACAAAGCGGCGAAGAGGGCGCGGTACAGCGAGATAGGCAGAAAGGAACGGAAGCAACAGCGAAGAGAAACATAATGGAACTGCAACAGTTGGGAATACAGTAAAAGTCAACATCCACATTGATACAGTAGAATAAAACTGAAAAACAGGACTATCAGCTATTTTTCCAGTTATAATCATTAATAAGGTCCTTATAACCTTCTATTAATGCTTCACACCGCATCCAGGTACCGTCCTCAGGTCCATAACCAAGCCAGTGAAGCAAATTTAATGTATTCAGTTCTATCTGTCAGAGTGCGGGATCGGGCGGGCAGGCTAACAAAGCTGATACGTAGGCTGGCTACTGGTCAGGCTATAGTATATACAGGCAGATAGACAAGACATAAGCTTGAGAAGCTACAACAGGATCATGATTCATGATCAGGGTCAGGCGGGAAGTTAAACAGTCAGAATCACATGACGAAGCGGTGGGGTCAGGCAGAACGAGCGGTTCGGGCTGGCACCGTGACACTATTATAGCCTGATTAGATAGCACATCAATCAATAAGCATCTTGACTTTTTAACAGTCAGTATCAGTAGGGAATCGATCATTGATAGTTATATGAGATCAATGAGGCTTATCTCTAAAGGGATTGACATATATTGTGTATATGCCAAGTGCTTGGTAGTTTCGACCGGTATACTAGATAATTGTTACGCCTGGGTATTCGGGCTGGAGCTCTGCGACCAGTTAGCTGCACTTGCGTAGCGAGGGTCAAACCTGGATGATAGAATCCACTATGATTCAGTAACAAGAGACGATGATACCGAGAGGTGACTTGATCCATGGCCTGATTGAGAGACAATAACTAATCTGTAAATAGCTCAAGTCCAAAAGGCCAGGCCTTTCAAGTATATATACTCAATAGTTAGAAGAATATGAACAGGTTAAATACTGGTCTTAATTCTAAACGTAACTGTTACAGACCCTTGTCTAGTGCACCTATCGAACGCGGACTCGGACAGCAGAATCAGTGACGCAACAATTTAGTGGACAGAGATGACCATCTTAAGTATTTAAAGGACTGAGCTGATCACTGAGTGCTTCCCTGCCCCACTGAGCATTAGCACCAAAACAGAAGACGCTAGAGAATATCCAGTATATATATTTCTCTATAAATCGGATATTGTTAACACTAGCACTTACCTAAACAAGCCACTATATAATCTAGTATATAATATAGTTGTTACAGGTAGGCCTCGCCATAACCCGCAAACGGGTTGGCAACTCCAACCCGTTACCCCAACCCGCAGATTTGCGGGTTGAAAAAACCAACCCTTACCTGACCCTCAAATCTGCATAGGTAACCTGTAGGTTATCTATAAATAACCTGTTTTTATATAAATCTCCCAGATCTTTCTTAAACAGAATTAGGCTGACCGTTGGGACGGGATAATCCCAGGGATTTCGGGATGGGATGGGATTTTGGGATTTTGGGATGGGAAATGGGAATCCCGTCCCATCCCAAAATCCCAAAATAATGCCAAGACAAGGATGGGAATCCCGTTTTTATGGTTAATCTGGATGGGAATCCTATCCTGTTTTAAAATTAGGATTGGGAATCCTGTTTTGTGCAGTTAAATAGGATAGGATTTCTATTTTAGCCCTATATTTAGAATAGAATGGGAAACGGGATACCAAGAGAAAAAATAGGATAGAATAGAATAAGATAGAAAATTCCTATAATAAAATACTATATATACTATTATAAAAGATTATTATAGACTATATAGTTTTAGCTTATATTAGACTACAAGCAATACTACTGTTCAGCTATAAAAAAATACTATAATTAAAAATAAAAAAGAATAAAAATTAAAATAAAAATATATATAATAAAAATAAAGCTAGTAATAAGTTCTTTATTTAATTATATTAGCAGTTCTAAGATTTTAATAAACTTAACTTTAGTTATTACTTTTAATTATTACTTTTAATTATTATATTCTATATATTAAAGGCGTTTTATATTTTATTTTAGGATTTTAGAATAGAAAATAGAAATTCTATTCTATCCCAAAATCCTAAAATAATACTAAGACAAGAATAGGAATCCTATTTTTATAGTTAATCTAGATAGGAATCCCATTCCATTTTAAAATTGGGATTAGGATTCCTGTTTTGTGCAGTTAAACGGGATGGGAATCCCATTCTAGCCCTACATTTGGGATAGGATAAAAAACGGGATGCCAAGAGGGAAAACAGGATGGAAAATGGAATACCAAGAATGGGATGGGATGGGATGGGAAATTCCCATTCCCGTCCCATCCCATCCCAATGGTCAGCCTAAACAGAATAGATAAAATACTAAATTAGCCTAATAAATAACTATTATTTATATCTATCTTAGTTATAAGTATTATTTAAACTATTTTCTAATAGTATTTCTAAAAAATTATTTAAAATATATTTATATTTTGATCTTTTTAATATAGTAATAAACTATTTAGTAAAAATAGTAAAGCTTATATATCTATTTATTAATCTACTATAAGTCTAGTATTTCAGGATTATAATAAATATAAATAGATAATCTATAAATTATCTATAAATTTTAAAAGTTATATAGATTATTCTTAAAGTAATCTATAGATTATCTATAAAAACTATCTAACTTTAACTAATTATACTTTTATTCTTATATAGTAATAAAGAAATTTTATAATATATTAATAATTTATTTAGCTATCTATAATAGCTAAGTTAAATCTTTTTTTCTAGATATTAAAATTAATTCTTTAAATTAAAATATAAAGAATTTTTATAAATTATTTTTTTTTAATAAATATCTTTATTTTAATTTATTATATTTTAAAGATCTTAATTTTCTAATATCTACTTTTTATTACTATATAGTAATACTATAGATTTTTTTTATATTTTATCTAATAATCTTTAGTTACTTACTTCTAAGCTATATTTTAGTTAATAGAATTTTAGATTAATATTTAATTTAGACTTTATTTAACTATCTTAGCTAGCTATAATTTCTAAGATTCTTTAATATATTAGTCTAGATTATAAAAAGTTCTATATTCTTTATTTTAATATATTAAAGAATAACTTTATTATTTAGTGACTAAAAACAGACTTTAAAAGATAAAAGTAAATCTATTAAAATAGTAGATATTACTTTAATTACTAAAAATATTATTAATAAATTATAGATATTAAAATAAAAAAACTAAAGATTCTATATAATAAATATTTTAAGATTTTTAACT